AAAGAAAGAATGAATAGCCTTAACATACCTAGAGTAAGGAAAAATCTGTATGATCTTGGAAAAAATTGTACCGTACTCCTTTAGAACAACAAAATTTTTACGTTGTTAAGATTCTAATAATTCTCTTTGGATTTATTTTGTAGGAATTGGTGGCAAGAAGTTTTTATTGAAACTTATGAGAATTGCTAAGATTATAGCGTTTTTGAGAATGAACTTTATTGAAAACTTATAAGAATTCACTTCTGATTGTAGGGTGCATAAGGAATTGTAGGAATTTTATTTATAAGGTCTTGTATTCAAGATATATATAAAAATGAAGTGTTTTGTAGTATTTTGCCACCTAACCAAAATGACTAAGAGTCATTTGGTTAGGAATTGGCTTGCTGCCACGTTAAAGGTAAGGATACTCAAATTTATCAAAATTTTTAATTAAGTAATAATTTATTAATTTTCCATTAACAAATAATAAACCAATTACCCACGCAATTAAGAATTATCCCAAATTACTTAAAATACTACTTATTTTTAATACACCCTTATACATCATATTATTATGGTAATATGGTATTTTGTATGGTACTAGCCCATAAATATCGGGTAATAACGCTCGGCCCGTATTTTATTCCAATTTGCCAAATTTGGATGAAAAATTCATTTTCTTTGATTTGCTTCCCCTCTCACCTTCACGAATTTACTCATCATTTATTTAAAATAGCATAATCGTTATAATCTCCAAATAATCTTTTTCCTTGGACTGATGTCAATTACCTTACGATAAATTCAACGTACAATACTACAGGGTGTAACATCGTCATAATTTAATACTGCGAAGCGTAACATCATCGTAATATAATACTACAGGACGTAATATCGACGTAATATTGCGGGGCATAACAGACAATCTCAAAAAAATATTAAATTCCTTTTAGATGTCATATGTTTTAACAACATCTCTAGTATGGATAAATTAACTCATTTAGTCATATATGTAAATAAAGCATAGGTCAAAAAGTTACAAAGTTCAACAAGGCACAAAAAAACATATAATTTATTTCGAGCATAGATAATTCTGATACATGCATATACGCGTGTCGCCTCGCATATGCATCACCTCCCGTATGTAACAAACAATATCATGTATTAGGAAAAATTTCCTCAACAAAGCTAGCAAGACACTTACCTCAAACAAGCCAAATCAATACTCTAAAAATGCCTTCCCGCACTAATCTACCTCTGAACAGCTCGAATCTAGCAAAAAACAACTCAATAACATCAAATAATGTCATAGGAATAAAACCCAAATGATAAAGGCCGAATCTTTAATCAAATACTCAAGTCAACCTAAAACGTTTGGACCCGTATCCCGAAACCCGACAAAACTCACAAATCCCAAACATCTATTCCAATAAGAGTCAAAATCTACAAGTTTCATCCAAAACCAACTCTAAATCGGGATTCAAATCTCTATTTTTCACTTTATAAAGTTTTGCCAAAACCCCTAATACACTTTCTTATCTTTCAAGCCAAAACTCCCTTTTCTTCTTTAAGATTCCTTGATTTAGAGCCAAAATCAATGATAGATTTAATTATAATCATAAATTCGAGTTAGGTTTACTCGCCCTAATGAAGTAGATGAAAACTCCCTAAAAATCGCCTCCTTCCGAGCTCCAAAACTTTGTGAGAAAAAGTAACTAAATTCGAAATAAGTAAAAAAAACAGCATTTTCCCAACCCGAATCAGATGCTAGACGACCCCAAAACTCACATTTAATAGGCCCAACATAATCCTTGCGAGATTATACCCAATATAGCCTTTTGAATCACCCAATTTGGCCTTAAGATGAGGGAGATATGATGTTTTGAAGGTTTAAAGGAAGTCTCAAAATTTCAGGGACATAACTGGTATTTTAGTAATTATTTACACCAGACAAATTAGCTATAACAAAATATTCATTTTAGCATCTAAAACCCATTCGGAACCTCCCGGACACAACCCATATATGCATTTCAATCATAAAATATGCTACAAATCTGCCTGCGCACTCAAAACAGTGAAAAGAGGTCATCTTGACCAGATATTAACCATGGTCAAACTCTAAATCTTTAACTTAACTAATCTCTCGACCAATGATCCAAAACACACACGAGCCCCTCGGAACCCCATCAAATCATACCAAAAAGTACAAATACATTATCCAAATTTATCCAAAGCATCAAAATACCCACGAGAACTAGAGGCAGGCATAAAATCCAAAAAAATTGAAAAACGGGACCGGACCAAATTAATTCGCTAATTCAGTATCGGTTCTTTGGTTATTCAGTACTAATTCGGTATCACTTTTTCAAAAGTTTGGTACTTCGGTACGGTTTTCGGTATCAATCTTTCGATACTTTGGTAAACTGAAATACTTAAGAAGCTTGCCCAATAATGAGTTTCCTCGCTTTTCTTTTTAATCACACTGTTCTTTGTGAATTGGCCTTGACTGTTTGGTTGCATTAGCTATGTTGTTTGTCCTTTTAACTTCTACTTCACATATTAATTTATACTTTAGTATCTCATAAGTTGATTGTAGTGAGTCTTGTTTCCTGGCCATATGAAACATGCAGAAATGTGGGAATAATTACATTGAAGGAGTTAACTCAACTAATGCATGGTATGGTGGACCTGTTGTGTGAATTGGGTGGAGAGTGGGATGGACGCTATAGACTTCTTGTATGCATAGATAGTGCATATCACCACCTATAAACATTTTTATAGCATCTGTATTGTCCAATAGAATTTGAATATGCATTCTTTATTTAGAGGCATGTAGCTAGAAATAGACCGGGGCCTCTAAGTTACAATTGTATGGTTATACTAAAGGACATGCTAGGCCAACTGGAAGAGTTGCTGCCATTGCTATGTTAATTGGGTACTGATCTTATATTGTTATGTGATTTCTAATGAATTAGAATTCACCAACTTTGTTCACAAAGATTTGGTACAATACTGAACTATACTGAAATCGTACCGAACCAATTAAGAAAATATCGAATCGTACCAAACTATTTTGGTACGGTATTTGGTATGCATAATTGATAAACCGAATACCGAAATACCGTGCCGAAATTCTTAAAAGCTATACCAAAGTACTGAACGCTCACCCCTAACGGTAACTTCACAACAAAGAATCGATGCTCAAACTAAATATAATTTCTCTTAAGTTGTTAAATCTTCATTCCTTCAAAAGAGTGTCGGAATCACAGTTACACACTTTGGATTACTTTCAAACTTTGAATACAACTTCAATTCAACTATATAGACCTTTTCAAACTCTCGAAATACCCACTGGAGTCCAATAACATCAATGTTAACTCTTGGTCAAACTTATGAGTTCTTCAAATTTTCAACTTTCGACAAAAAGAGACAAATCATCCTAGGAACTTTCAAAACCAAATTCGAACATACATACTAGTCAAAAATCATTATATGAACCTATCAAAACCATCAAAACCCGATTCCAAGTACGTTTATCCAAAAGTCTAATCTTAGTCAATTTTTCCAACTTAAAGCTCCCAAATCGAGAGACATTCTTCTAAATCAATCCTGAACCACTCGAAAACCAAAATTGATCATACACGTAAGTTATAATACATCATATGAAGCTACTCAACGTCTNAATCACTTAGTTCATGGGGGCTGTCGGCGTTCCTCAATTCACCTAGTACAATATCCTGATCCCCTTCCTCATTTAGAAGCTTATGAAAGTAGGTCTGCCATCTCCTCTTTATCTGGTCATCCCCCAACAAAACTTTGCCGTCCTCATCTTTTATGCACCTCACTTGGTCCAAATCCCGAGCCGTCCTCTCTCTCACCTTAGCGAGTCGGAGTAACTTCTTCTCCCCGCCTTTGTTCCCTAGTTCCTCATACAAACGAGCAAAAGCTGCCGTCTTTGCCTCCGTCACTGCCATCTTTGCCTCCTTCCTAGCTACCTTATATCTTGCAATGTTCGCTCTCTTCAAAACACCAAATAAAATATTAAAGTTCAAAATGACAGGTCGGGTCGTTACAACTTTGCTTGCTTCAATTGAAAAGATAAGTGTAAAGATAGCCATAACATATAAATATGGTAGTGTCTAGTGTTATTACTATAACGACATACGCATATTCTTCTGTATTTTTTTATTTTATTTTTGAATATAATTGGGTAATCGAGGCTACAATACTTGCGTAATTATATAGAGTCACAATTGATAAATTACACATTAAAGTTTGTTTTTTGTATGAAGGAGAAAAAGAAAGAAAAACAAAGAATATTAGAAGTAGGCTTTTAATATTAGGTTGAGGAATGAAAAAAGAATTTCAAGTTATATACAAAGTGGCTAACTGGGTAAAAAGCAAAAACATAAACTAATTTTGATAGCATTGTTACCTCCGTTGACATAAAGAGTAAATTTTTCTATATATAAAAAAAGATGCTTTTACCATACGTAATTTCACAATAACCATTCTTTTATTATTTATTTATTTATTTATTCACCATATAATTTTGTTTTGTTCTGAGGGCATTCACCATATAATGATCAATGCATTATTTATTTTTCGTATAATAATCCCTTATAATTTAATTATTCACTGTATTTTTATTCGAAGTTAAAAAATAGCCAGATTTATAAGTGGTAATTGAAAAATAGTCACAATTTTAAAAGTAATCGAAATTTAACTACTTTTCATGTAAAGATAAATCTGAACGAAAATGCTGTTCAAAATCCGGAAAATATTCCAACATAATATACTGGAATTATGCTGGAATTTTTCGTGCATTGGAGTTCCAGCATAATATGCTGTAAGTCATACACAGGTGCGCACCAATCTCCGGTCTATTATGCTGGAACTTTTCGTGTTGCAGCAAAATAGTGACTATTTTTCAATGATTTTACAAATACTGACTATTTTTCAATTAACAGTCCGAAAAGTGGCTAGACTGTGCTATTTTCACCTATACAATCCCAATATGACAAAATCATCCACCAAACGAACCCTAAACAAAAAACTCTGTCCATACGTCATAAATTTTCTTGTTACATTTTTGTTCAATATAATAAGTGGTTCATTGATCGGGCTCGGGGTACTGGGGATACTTGGACTGAATTCAAGTTGGTCCTTGCCATAGCAGAAAAATGAACGACTTCACCGTTGGGTCTGTACCCAATGTATTCTACATTCCAGATTTCATTTCTGAGTCTGAACACGACCAGCTCTTGAATAATGTAAAATTCCCATCTTTATTACTTACTCAGTCCATCCTTTTTGTCCTTTCCATTTTCTTCTGCTCTATTTATTCTTGAAATACTGTGTATCTACTTTTCTTCCATTATTTACAAGACTTTGTTTTTTTTGTGTGTGTTTTTCTAGATAAACGGTGCGCCAATTTCTAAATGGAAATCTTTGAAAAACAGGAGATTGCAGAATTGGGGTATGCTGCGTTTTAATATTCTTGGGGTTATTTCATTTGGGAAATTTGTGCTTTTAGTCCCTCAAATACCGACAAATTCTGTTTTTTGTCCTTTTGATTTCTGGTTAAGCACATTTAACATTCAATTAATTGATATGTGTATTTTCAATGCTTCTGGTTGTGAATCTTCACAAATTTAACGAACTATTAAGTGCTAAACTATTTAATTTATTTGTTATGTTAAATTAGTATTGTTACTCCATATTTGAGGATAATATAGTTCTAGAACGTAATAGTGTAAATATAACATATTTCCTGTCTGAAGGGACCAAAAGGTAAAAACTCTGCGTTTTAGTATGTTAAAGGTTTAATGTGCTTAGCGAAATACTAAAAGAACCGAAACCATAATTTACTAATAACTGGAGGACCAAAAGTGCAATTAACTCTTTTCATTTTTTTAAAAATGAATTTATACACATTTTCCCTTAATAAATTTAATCATTTCTATTGCAGGAGGAGTTGTGCATGAAAAAGGCCTTATAGCTCAAGACTGTATGTACTCATTTAACCCTCTTTCTTTGTCTCTCTATTAACAGTTGAATGCAGTGTGTGAATGTATGTTTCTGACTTCAAATTTTGGGGTTAGCAGTTTTCGGCTTATCTAACAAGCTGTTAAAGAACTAAATATTCACTAAGGAAATTATGCCAACCGCTAACCACTTTCATTAACTTCCATTTACTGTAATTCTCTAAACAATTCTGAAGCCGTAGATTCTCCAATAAATGTTTAGTTAATTTTCAAATGACTTGCAAATAATTGAAGTATATTCTTTCAGTAGGTTTAACATTTCATAATCTATGAAGCATTAAGGCCACATCAAACTCCAATATTGAGAGATGTATAGCGCACAGGATACAACATGACATTTCTGTACATTTTATATCCTACATTGAATTTTTTGATCTCAAAAGGTATCAAAAAATAAACCTTGAGAACTGAAATTTCTAAAGGCTTAACCAAAGAGAGCACTAGACTAGAGAGGATAGATTCGGATTGCAAGAAGGAAGATGACGAACAGTCGTGTGAGAAGTAGATAAAGCAAAGAGCATTGCAGTAATCCAGAGATGGATATGGGCGTACAGATTTGAAGTTTGATCTTGGATTGAACAATAGCTTTCTTATATATTGTAATTGTTTAGGTCTAGAGCTGATGCATTTAGGACCAAACCTAGCAACCTTCCAGTTTATTAGGTCATTTGTATCCGACAAGAAATTTCTTCTAGTTTTTTCAATTTTTCTGGTATGGAGCAAATATGTGCATGAGAGACATGTAATAGGCTAGTTGTAGTACTTTTAATCAATCTCCTTTGCATATTTGTATAAGTACTTATTCTTCCATCCAATAATGTTTTTTTGTAATTTTCTTAATCACTGAATTCCAAAGTGCACCGTCCTTATAAGTAGCTTCCAGAGGTAGACCGTAGACCAAGGTAAGTTGTTGGAAGTGATTCAACTTTGCAATTGAAAACATGTGCAAGTTTCTCAATATTCTCCACCTCTTCCACATGATGTTCTCACATTTCTCAAATTGATCTTCAGGCAAGCCTGATACCCTAGGAAAAGGTGCTTCAAATGCTGTAATTGAGCCACCTTCACATTATAAAACATTAGTGTGTTATCAACAAAAGTTAGATTGGACATGTGCACGTTGTCTTACCTTCCCTTTGCTTGAGAATCTCGTTAAGTTTCCTTCTGCCATATCTTTGTTTATCATCTATCGAAGTGCTTATACTACAATGATGCACAATGTTTACTGTGAAAATGGTAATAACAATTAAATTTGTTGATAGGACTCTAAAAATACGTGATCTATTTTTATGCTAGTTGTTAGAGCAGTTGATGCTAGATATGTGAAGATAAAAGATAAAACGCGAGTCGGAAAAGAGCTGTGATCAAACCGAGGGGTTAGCTGTCCGGGCCTCGGGCTGACCGGTGAAAGACCTCGAGGTCGATGCCTGGGCTCGGGCTCGAGCTATCGGGGGTAACTGGGGAGGGACTAACAGTTAGAATATAATTAAGGGAGGCTCTTTACGCCGATATCAAGCAATAAATGAAGCACAAATATGAAAGCAATAAATGAGAGATGTAGTCTCTAGCGAGTAAGTTAGAGAGAAAAGCGAGAGAGAGTTGTTATTGATCTTATGTAGAATAGTTAGAGCAACAGCAACCCTTTACAAAGTGATGAAGATCCCCTTTATATAGGAGGGGAATCCCGTCATAATACAAAATACATTAATTGTAAAGGCATGAAGATGGGACAGCTAGACGCGACGCCTTGATACAGGCTTTGGGTAGGCCGGCTTTGTCAGACTTAGCCGTGTGCCTTGGGAATTCACCATTTTACTCTAGCCTCGATCTATGTCCTCTTTAAGTCGGAGCTCGACGAGCTCCGAGGGAGGGAACTCGGTCACAGCTTCGTGTCTTCGGGGTCTCGAGGTGTCCTTCTAAAGTAACTCGATAGCAAGAAATTAGGCCCTCTGATTTTGCCATATACAGATAGTCTCTGCGTTTCTCAGAACGAAGCGATGGGAAACGATTATGATGCCCGACTCCTCGGGCTCCCCGTGATGATGTCATATCGATGATGCAATCTATGGCGGGAATTTTCACGATAAGCGGGACATTTCTTGGGTTTGTCTTTTTGACGCCACTCAATGCGTTGTCGATTCCCGTTCTTCAAAGTGGCAGTACCGCCGTCGATTCAGTTCTTCCAGAACACAGTAATTGCGCCTGCTGGTCAGTCTTCCAAAGGCATTGAATGGCCGTGTTATTACCCCCTATAAATGGGGGCATTCTGGCGTCATTTTTCTATCCAAGTGTCTTTCTTCATTCATTTACCCCCTCTTTCTCGCCATCTTTCTATTTTGTTAATCACCATCTTTGAAGTTCACGGCCTTAAGGTTGTTTGGCTGCGTTCCCACCGGCCGGGTGATGGCCTTTTGCCCGAGCTTCCCTTTGTCGAGCGAGATTATACCGTCTTGCCGTCGCTACCGTTGTTGTTGCGATTGTTACTGCTGTCCTGATTGGCTCGAGATGACAATAGACGGGGAATCGACTTTCCCCTTTTTTAGAAAGTTATTCGGACTATACACCGCTGCTCACTCTCCTACCCTGGCCTGGTGTGGCACTTCATCCCTTGGGTTTTTTCTTTCCCGAGGGATAAAATGGCACAATCGGCCATTGAGGCTAGGGCCCGCCGAATCTTCAACCTTTGGCTTCGGCTGGCTATGTCTCTTTTCTCTGCCTCTTCTGCATCCCCCCTTTTCCTCTTCTTCATCTTCTCCCTCGGCGAGGACTTTCCGCGGGATTGAGCTTGGAACCTAGAGGAGATGATGATCGAAGGAGTTGCCTTCAAGGATGCGAGCTCGAGGAGGCGGCGCTCGGGGACGCTGATATCGGAGATGAACCTTCGAGGATGGACTAGGTTCTTAGGTTTTCACTATGAGTGTATACCCCTTTGTTTCTTTGTTTCTGTGTAAGGACCCCTTGCGGGCTTTTGTAATTTGTATGTAAGGACCCCTCGAGGGCCATTGTAAGCTAATATTTATGAAATAAAAGGACATCCTCTTTACTTCTGCTTTTGATATTTGCCATATTCTTGTATATTCTTGTGCATTTGCGGGGATTTTGAATATATGTCTCTGTTGACGATCGTCAATATTCAACTCGGGTGCGAGCATTCTTTCCGGTCTCCAGTTGATAGAAATGGCTCCTTTCCGAGCTCATCGTTGTTCCCCGGGTCAAGCCTGAAGCGGTTCGATAAACTCGGGTCGTCGGGACCCTCGAGCCTCGTGGAGATAGAGCACCGAACCTTGAAATTTTGAGAGCAGCCTCTGAGTGAGAGTCGGCTTCGGGTACTCGGTGATTTACTTTGAACTTAATGCGGATAACCTTTTAAGGCGTTGTAGGCAGGTCTTTGAGGAGGGGTTACTCATATTTAGGCGACCTCCTGAGGTCGAGCCCTCATAGACGGAGCTCGAAGTGCTTGTTTTTCTCCTTGAGAGGAAACCTCGAGGTCGGGTACCACCTCGGAACCCGTACCGGAGCCGTTGGTCTCCTGGGGCCTAACTCGGGTAGGCGAATCGTCGCTGTTTCCCCACATATATATGGGGTTGCTCCCGCTTCTTGGAAGATCTCATTATTTTAGATAGCTATCCTCCCGTTTTGGCATTGAGTCCTTCGTTACCTTAGTGTCTGGGTTACTTTGGCGCAGATACATCCGTCATTTTGGCGAATAGTGTTGATAATGAGGTTCTTTGTGGAGAAAACAGGGATTGAATTCACGCTCAGTCACCTCGTCAGACTGTACCGGCCCTTTCATCATCGAGGCCCATTGCCGTTCGTCCACGCCCTTTGTTATTGATGACGAGAAAGATGGGGATCGAGAGTGGATTAGTCGATTCGTCCGGGTTCGGATGACTGACGTTATCCCTGTGGAACTTATGCCATTCTCCGAGGAATGGAATTACACGCGTGAGTGGAGCGTCTCGTCCTTTCTCAGATTCGCTCATGGTGAAAGCTAGTTTAGTAATCGCTTTCCTTCTTTTCTGCAGCAATTTCATGGGCGCCAAGCGAAGTTCCTGGTTTGCCCGGCTGGGTCCGGAAGCTAGTGACCCATTCGACTTGTGACGAGCGTAGGTGGCGATTTGTATCCCGGGGCAGATGAGAAGCTAAATACCACGGTACATGCATACACTGCTTTTACCTTGTCCTTCGTACATTTGGGAAGACATTTTCCCCCTTTTCACGTAATAATCTTGCCGTCGTAGGTATTGGAGGGTCTCCAAGGGCGAGGCTGTGCTCCTCCGGAGAGGGAGTGGAGTTGCCAGCTTCCGAGCTGAAGGACGATAATGATAATTGGAATATGCATTTGCAGTGCTATGAAGCTCACAACAGGACGAAACGGGGCCGAGTCTTTGAGGAGAAAACATCGCCCGAGCCTGCTGTACCCGAATTCTCCGGCTCTGGAGAGATGGTTCCTCCGAGTGATCATGCTTCGACCGAGGTTGGTTCTTCCAGGGTCGAGGGGGCTGGATTAATAGAAGTGTGCTCGGCCTTCGAGGAAGTCCGCCGGCTTTACTTTGCGGTGAGTTTTGGCACAGGCCTTCCGCATCTCGTGTCTTCCCTTCCTTATCGAGTTTTTCTTCTGCAGGCCTTTGGTAGGCTTAAGTCTGAGATGCTCCGTCATGGGGCTAGGCTTCGAAAAGCTCTGGATGAGGGTAGGTCCCTTAGGCTCCTTTGCGAGGAGAAGGAAGTTGAGTTAACACACTGGCGATATGAGGCGTACCGGAGCTCGAATTACGAGAGCTATTTGATGGAGCAGGTAATTTCTCGTGGTATTCGTTTCGCTTTTTAACCTTTTGGGTTAACTTTTTGCCTATCCCAGTTGCAGAAAAAGACGGAGTCTCTGGAGCGCCTTGGGGGTGAAGCCGACCGAGGTAGGAATGATTGTGGCGAGCTAAGTGCTCAGATGCAGGCTCAAGCTTCAGAG